ACACACACACACACACACACACACACACACACACACACACACACACACACACACTACATACAAAGAATTGGCTCATGCAGTTGTAGAGCTGACAAGACCCAGATCTGCAGCTCACAGGCTGGAGTCCCAGGAGGTGCAGTGGGTGCAGTTTCTGTCCAGAAGCTTCAGACTCCAGACTGTTGTGAGTTTGAAGGCAGAAGAAGAGAGTTGACGTTACAGCACAAAGGCCTTGGGGGGAAGAATTCTGTCTGCTCTGCAGAGAGTAAACCTTTGTTGTGATCGGGGCTTCTGAAGATTGGATGAGGCCCACCCACCTTAGAGAGGACTTTCTGTTTCAGTTTGTTGATGTAAACATTAATCTCATTCAAAACATAATTTAGTAATGTTTGACCAAATATCTGGCCATCCTGTGGCCCAGCTATGTGGACATATAAAATGTGCCATCCCATCCAGTCTAACAACATTTGTTATGTGTGTGTATGTGTGTAAATTAGTATGTATATAAATTTATGTCACACAGGCATGCCATAGCTCATATGTGGGAGTCCAAGGACAACCTGCAGGAGTTAGTTTTAGCCTACCTTTATGTGGGTCCCAGGGGCTGCACTCAGGTCATCAGGCCTGGTAGCAAGAACCTTTCGTCACTGAGCCCTCAGCCTTACTACCTTTTTTCTTTTGAGATAAAATTTCAATGTGTAGCCTCTCATATATAGATCTACCTGCCTCCTAAATGCTGTGCTGAGCTAAGGCACGGCACCTGCCATCACGCCTGCCCTTACCACCTTTTAAAACAGTTTTTAATTATTATTTATTTTTTGAGACAGGGTCTTACTATGTAGCTATGCCTGGCCTGGACTCCCTGTGTATATGGGCTGGCCTGGAGCCCACAGAGATCCCCCTACCTCTGTCTCTGGAGTGCAGGGATTAAAGGCGTGCCCTACCACATCGGGCCCTTTCCCCGTCTCAACTTGTTATGTGGCAGACAGCAGCTCCCTGGGTCAGGAGTTCAACATGCTTTTTAGAAGTTTTTTTTTGTTTTTAACTTTGAGACAGGGTCTTAATTGTGTCATCTAAGCTGGCCTCAAACTCAGAATCTTCCTGCCACAGACTCCTGAGAGCTGAAGTTACAAGGAAACTAACATAGCTTTTTGTTATTTTTTTCCCATGTTAGTAAGAGAACGTAGGATCTTAGGAATGCCAGGTAGGGACTGTACTGCTAGGCCATACCCTAAGCCCTTTACTGGTTCATTCTAGGCAGGAGCTCTACCACTGAGCCACGACCCCAGCCCCTCACTGGGGGATTCTAAGCAGGTACTCTACCACTGAGCCATGCTCCCAGGCTCTCACTGGGAGACTCTTAGGTGTTTACCCTTGAGCTCTGTTCTCATTCAGTCCCACCATATCTTTTCAGGAGCTCAGCTCAGCAGATCCTGACTCTGCAGGATGGTGGATGGACCACGTGGTGGAGGTGTGGTGCAGTGATTAGAAACACAGCATCCAGGATGTGGGTGGAACACAGGAGTCAAATGGAGGATCAAGAGTCAGGTTCAGGGAATGGTACACAGTGCTGCCAAAGAGCAATTTGTAAGGTCGTGAATGAGGTTGTGCTTGTTTCAGAATCACGTCTGAAGTTGGAGGGTGAGTGCAAGGGCAGGACGCTGACTCATCATTGCTCCTGGGTTTTCTGGTGATGCAAAGGACACTGATGAGTCAGAAGGGCCTATGTGTCAGGTTATGGGTGTTCCGTGTACTACTAGAGGACAGTGCTTGGAGCTTTTTTTTGTTGAGTGCCTTTTGATAATCCTAGGGCTGAGCTGGCAAATCCTATATTTTTGTCACAATGGGGCTGACTCACCCTTTGTTTCCTTCCAAGAGATGTCAAACCTGTCACGTGTCAGTATTTTGAATAGGAGCATAGTTCCATCTTGAAGCAACTGTCAGGAAGTACAACACTTGTTTAGTATGCTAACTTCCTTATTTTAATTTATTTATTAAAAATTATTTATGTGACCAAGCATGGTGGCGCACACCTTTAATCCCAGCACCCAGGGAGGCAGAGGCAGGTAGATTGATGTGAGTTTGAGGACAGCCTGGTCTACAAAGCGAGTCCAGGACAGCAAGGGCTCTCTTGAGAAAAACCAAAACCAAACAAAAAAATATTTATGTGTATGGGTATCTTTCTTATATGCATCACATACAAACAGTGCTTACAGAAGCCAAAAGGGGGCATCAGCTCCCCTGGAACTGGAGTTACAGATGGTTGTGGGCTACCATATGTTTGCTGGGAATCAAACCCAGGTCATTTGGAAGAGCACCCAGTGCTGTTAACCTCTGAGCCATCTCCCAGCCCCCTGTTAACTTTTAAATTACATTTACTCTATCTGATTATCTTTCTGTCTATCTGTTTCTCCTATCTATCTATCTATCTATCTATCTATCTATCTATCTATCTATCTATCATTTATCTATGTATCATCTATCCATCATCTATTTATCTATCATCTACCTATATATCATCTATATCTGTCTGTCTGTCTACCTATGTATCATCTGTCTATGTATCATCTATCTGTCTGTCTGTCTGTCTATCTATCTATCTATCTATCTATCTATCTATCTATCTATCTAATCTATTCATCTACCCATTTCTATCTATCATGTTGGTGTGGGTGTGCTACAGCACACATACAGAGGTCAGAGTACAACTTTTAATCAGTTCACAGTGTAGGTCCTGGGGATTAACCTCAGGTGAGGGAAGGCATGGCTAGTAGATCTGGTCAGAGCACTTTGGTTGGAACACTTTGGAGGTGGGAGCTTTAGGCAAAGGCTGCTCACATCTTGGTAAATCTGGAAGCAAACAACTCTGGCAGGAACCAGAAGCATGTATGACTTCAACGCCCGCCTTAGATGACCCATAGTGGGGCCATGTTAACAAAGATTCTGCAAGCTCCGGAAACAGGTGCACAGTTGGAGTCTTAGGTGTAGGCACATGTGCGTTGTGCACACATGTACCACAGTGTATGTGTGGAGCTTAGAGGAGTCAGTTCTTGGCGTCCATCATGTGGGCGTTGGGGCTTGAACTGAGGCGGTCAGGCTTGGCAGCAAGTGCCTTTACCTCCTCAGCCAACTCCCTTGCCCTTTTTACAAACTTGAGACTGAAGTAAGCTTTCTGCCTCAGTGTCCTGAGTCGCTAGGATTGCCACCCTTCACTACACACTTCTGGCTTCTTTCTTGATACACATATTTTACATTATTTATTGTGTGTGTGTGTGTGTGCATGCCTGTGCATGAGTGCCGTGGCACTGGGAAGCACCTTTCTCACTGAACCTTTTCTGCAGCCCATTTATTCCCTGCACAGCTACCATTGGTGAATTTTTTAAAAATTTATTTAATTAGTTTTATTTACGTGTATCTGTGGGTATGTGAGCATGAGTGCATTGGATTTCCCTCGGCTGGGCTGCAGGAGATTGTGAGCTACCTGATGTGGGTGCTGGCAATGGGATCAAACTGTGTCTCAGCCACCAAGCCATCACCGCCCAAGAGAGTTTTTTTTTTTTTTTTTTAATATATATATTTTTTTATTAAATAAAACCACTTCCTGGTCTGAGAAACCTCCTATGATTAAACTTATTGATGAAGAAGTAGGAAAGTTCTCTTTTGAGTGTGTTGGTTCTCAGTGTTGCTGGGATGTCCATTTCAGGAAGGCGGTGACCTCGACTCTCCTGTACACCCTGTATTTCCAGTGTCCAATAACAGGTGCTTAGAAAATACTTGCTGACTGACTAGTAATGACATGTTCCTACCAGGCAGGGACTATTATCATTTTTTAGTAAAGGAAGAAACTGAGTCCAAGAGAAGCTATGTGAACTGGCTAGTGTCAAAAATCCAGTCAGGTTTTTTATTTTTTGAGACAAGTCTTACTCTGTAGCCCAGGCTGGCCAGGAGTATAGGCACAAGCCACCACGTCGGACTTTAGAGCTAAGATTTGACTTGTCTGCCTAGTTTCCTATATGATATACCTCTATCCTTGCCCTCACCCCTACCCCAACACTGGGAGTCAAACCTGGGACTTTGTGCAGGCCTGGTAGTTGTTTGTCTATGTGTCAGGTACTTCTGGCCACATCTACCAGGGAGTTTCTCAACTCAGTTAGTTGGGATGAGTAGACCCACTCTAACTGTGAGCAGCGTCATTCCATGGCCTGGCGTCCCACAAAGAAGAAGCAGTCTCTCTGTGCTGAGATTAGGGGCAGGTGCCACTAGACCCAACCTTTGGATCTATCTTATTTTATTACTTATTTAGTTTTGACTAAATATATATGTTTGTGTTTGTTTGTGCGTGGGTGCAGGTCCTGCAGAGACTGAGAGAGGACAATGGATGCCCCTGAGATGGAGTTACAGGTGGCTGTGACTCCTGATGTGGGTGCTGGGAACTGAAGCCCGGGTCTCTGCAAGAGCAGTGTGTGCACTTAACCTCTGAGCCATCTCTCCCGCCCTGAGGCAAGGTTTTGCTTTATGACCCTGGCTGGCCTTGAACTTGTAATCCTTCTGCCTCAGCCTCCTCTGTAGTCTGCACTACTACCCATGGCTTAGAGCTTGTGTTCTTCATTGCTGTTCTATATTCCAGGCTCCCACCAAGTGAAGAATGAGATTCTGGTTCATGACTCTTACGTGCTAGACACCCAGTTTCTTATCTTCACTGACAATATCTTGGAAGTGTTACGGATTCAATTATGTCTCTGTGTGGAAGGCTTCCTTAGGCTCTCAGAAGGTGACCTTGTTTGGAGATAGGCTTTTTGTAGAAGTGAGGTCATCAGGATGTGTCCTAGGTCAGTATCCCTGGTGTCCTTATTAAGGGAAACTGGGACAGAGAAGGCTGTGCACAGAGGGAAGATTCTTGATGAAATATAGGGAGGAGTTGGCTATCCACTAGCTAAGGCCTAGACAGAGTCTCTTCCTCAGCCCCAGCTGGACCAGCTCTTCCTTATTAGTTCCTGATCCTGGCTTTTCATTGTCTCCGACATCCATTTCTGATTTTTTTAAAGACTTTTTAAAGTTTTTAAATTTTACTTTATTTTAGTTATTATTATTATTATTATTTTTTTTTTGAGACAGGTTTTCTTTGTATAATAGAGCCCTGGCTGTCCTAGAACTTGTTCTGTAGACAAGTCTGGCCTTGAACTGAGAGAGATTTACCTGAACTCACCGAGGCCTGCCTGCCTCTGCCTTCCAAGCGCTGGGACTAAAGGCGTATACCACCACCACCCAGCTAATATGTATTTATTTTTATTTTATGAGTATGAATGTTTTGCCTGCATGTGTACCATGTTCATGCCTGGTGCCCAAAGAGGCTAGAAGAAGGCATTAGATCCCTTAGAACTGTGAGCTACTATTTTATGTAAGGTTTCTATTGCTACAATGAAACACCATGACCAAAATGGGGAGGAAAGGGTTTATTTTATTTGGCTTTCATTTCCACACCATTGTCCATCATTGAAGGAAGCCAGTACAGGAACTGAAACAAGGCAGGAACCTGGAGGCAGGAGCTGGTGCAGAGGCCATGGAGGGGTGTTGCTTACTGACTTGCTCAGCCTGCTTTCTTACAGCACCCAAGACCACCAGCCCAGGGATGGCACCACCCACAATGGACTGGGCCCTCCCCCATCAATCAGTAATTAAGAAATGTCCTACAAGATTGCCTATAGCCCTATCTTATGGAAACATTTTCTCAGATGAAGTTCCATCTTTCAGATGATTGTAGCTTGAGTCAAGGTGACAAAAAACTACCCACAGCAGCTACCATATGGGTTCTGGGAACCGAACCTGGGTCCTCTTCAAAGTCAGCAAGTTGTTTAACCACCAAGCCATCTCTCCAGCACCAAATTCTGTTGCTTAAGTTGCTTGGTTTATAGCATTTTGTGATGTTAGCCAGAACAAAGTTCAGGGTCCTCATTAAGAACAATTCACACTGTTAACTGCAGAGCTGTCTCTTCAGTTCCTATTTATTTACATTTTTTGAGATAAGGTGTCTAGCTAAGGTTGTCCTTGAACACCCTATGTAGTCTGAGGATTACCCTAACCCTTTGATCTCCTTACCTCCTCTTGAGTGCTTGGATTATAAGAATTTCCACAACACCTGTTTCATGTGGTCCTGGGGACGGAAGCATGCCAGACAAACAGTGTACTAACTGAGCTCTAGCCCAGCCCCAAGGACCTTACTTAACTAGATTATCTCTGACAGTGTTACTTCCAGTCATGGTTATGTGTTGCGCTTCTAGGGATCAGGCTCCGTACGTAGCTCAGTACAGATGAGGTAGGGGCTGCTCCCAGCATGGCAAACCAGTAAGCAAGCAGAAGTGTACAGTTAGAACCCAGGACACTGGTAATTTTCAAGACCCTCTCCCAGCAACCTGCTTGGACCAGCAGTGCTCATCAGCCTGGTCTCTGAGTCTGTTGTCACAGGACATCCTCCCTTTGTGCTTTAGCCTGGCTCTTCTCCCTCAGGGGGACACCAATTCTGTTGCATCAGGGCACATTCCATGATCTTATCCTGTTTCCCAAAGTGTCCACTGTCACCAGCACAGTTAGATAGGAATGTGTGTGGGACACTGTCTTACCCTCAGGAAGGGGTGTGGTCCATCCTCAGCCCTGATGTGTCTGTTGTCATGTCTTCCAGAGGAGGAGCGAGTAGACATCCTGGTCAACAATGCGGCAGTGATGCGGTGCCCACAGTGGACCACTGAGGATGGCTTTGAGATGCAGTTTGGTGTCAACTACTTGGGTGAGGTCTGGGCTGGTTTTACATGTGTTTTATTAGAGTGGGTTCTCAGTGGGGAGTCACCCACTCTGGGGGTTGGGATCTTACTCTGTTCTCTTAAAACTTTATTAATGCATATGTCTATCCATAGACTGGGTGAATCTTCATTTTTACTCCCTTCTACAACTTTTTATAATTAGTTTTTAGGTCATTGTATAAATGATGGCATTTTCATATGTACGGGTCCTTATACCTTGGTCTCACTTGTTCTTTTCTCCTACTGACCTTCCCTCCACCCTTCTCTTTCTTCCCCCAGCTTTCACAGTTTTATTTTTGTGGCTGTGACACGACACCCTGGCAAAAAAGCAGCTTAAGGGAGAAGGTTTCTTAGGCTCATGGTTCCAGGTCATAGTTCTAAAGTGGCATGTCGCATGTGTATGCCAGTGCTCAGCTAGCTTTCTTTACTCTTAGACAGTGCAGGGCTCAAAATGAGCAAACGGTACCACCCACTCTCAGGGTAGACATTTCCACATCAGTGATCACGGTCTAGTACCCGCTACAGGCAGGGACACAGCCATCAGGACCTACATGGCTCCACTTTGAGCTTGTTGCAGTACCAGGTTGACAATGACAATGACAATGACCATATCTTCCCATCTGCCTGTCTGTCCATCTATCTTCCTTCCCTTCCTTCCTTCCTTCCTTCCATTCAGATTAAGTTTTAGTGTGTGTATGGGTATTGCCTGCGTGTATGTCTGTGCACCACATGCATGCCTGGTACCCTCTGAGGCTAGAATTGGGTATCAGATCCTCTAGGATAGGAGTTGTGGGTGCTAGGAATTGAGCCCGAGTCACAGGAAGAGCAGCTAGTACTCTTAATATCTGAGCTGTCTGATTTCAAAATTTCTGCCCTGATTTCAAAATTTTCAATGGCCTCATTTCTCCGTTGAATATATCTATCATATTTAAAATAATTTTTTTTTCTTCAGGTGGTGGTACATGCATGCCTTTAATCCTAGCACCAGGGAGACAGAGGCAGGTGGGATATTTATGAGTTCCTAGGTCAGTGTGGTCTACCTAACAAGTTCTAGAACATCCGAGGCTGTGCATAGTGAATCCCAGTCACAAAAAACTTAAAAAAAAATTTAACTTGGAGAATTTCACACATGTTTACGATGAAATCTGATCACATCCCTCTGATAGTTCCCACGACACCCATACCCTGTCACCATGCTGCCATCCCAACTTCATGTCTTTTGAAGCCCTGGCTGGTCTTGAACATGTGTGTGAAGATGACTGTGAACATCTGGTCCTTTTCCTTTATTTACAGGTGCTAGGATTATAGGCCTATGCCACTGTGCCTGGTCTTTTTTTTTTTTTTTTTTTTTGAATACAGGGTCTTGGTATCACATTTTCTTTATCTGTTCATCTCTTGATGATCATCTAGGCTGTTTCCATTTTCTGGCCTGAGGAATCATTGCAGTGATAAACATGGATGAGCAGTTATCTCTGTGGTGTGCTGACTTAGGGTCCCTTAGGTCTCTGTCCAGGAGAGGTGGAGCTGGGCCATATGGTAGTCCATTGTAGAGAAGCCTCCACATTGATTTCCATAGTGGCTTCACCAGTTTACATTCCACCAGCAGTGAGTAAGGGTTCTTCTCGGCATGTCCTTGCCAGTATTTATTGTCATTTATTTTCTTGGTGATGGACATTCTGACCAGGTGGAGTTGAAATCTCGGAGCAGTTTCCCTGATGGCTAAAGATACAGGAAACCTTTTCAAATATTTGTTGTCCATTTGTATTTCTTCAGTTGAAAACTGTGTGTTCAGTTCTTTAGCCTATTTATTGATTGGATGATTTTTTTGTTTTGTTTTGTTTAACTTTTGCATTCTTCCCAAGTTCCCATTCTTGCTAATGGAAGGGAAGGACAAAGGAAGAGAGGCTCTGAAAAGAAAGCTATCATTTTACCACCAGAAATAGCTATGATAAAAACCAAACCAAACCAAAGAAAACAGCAAGCAGGGTGTGGCTGTTTTAATGAGAACGGCCCCCATAGGCTCATGTGTTTGAATGCTTGGTTCCCAGTTAGTTGAACTGTTTGGGAAGAATTAAGGGATGTGGCCTTGTTGGAGGACTTGTGTCATTGAGGGATGGGGTTTGAGATTCCAAAACCCCCACCCCCCACCCACACTTATGGATCAGGATGTAAAGCTCTCAGATACTTCCTTGACACCATGCCTGCCTACCTGTCACCATGATTACTATGGACTAACCCTCTAAAATCAGGCAAGCCCCCAATTAAATGCTTCCTTTTCTAAGAGTTGATTTGGCCATGGTGTGTATTCACAGCAATAGAACAGTAGCTAAGACACAGGTCTTGGTGTTACACATCAAGAGCTTGACTATGGGTGCTAGTGGAGGAACACACCTTGATGGAAGGGAGAAGGTAATCTTCAACCAAGTGCACAGCTCCTGGATGTGCGTGGAGCAGTGAGGGAGGGTGGGGATACCTGCATGGTGGGTCAGCTGAAATCAACCCTGGTGGTTAATGGGATGACATGTCCCAGCCAGCTTGCTCTCACATCCAGGTGGTCTCTATCTGTAATATCTGCAGAGGCAGGAGGATTGCCTGAAGTTCAAGACTAATCTAATCAATAGAGTGAGTTCCTGTGCCCATCAGGCAGAGCTACATAGTGAGGCCTTGTCTCAAAAACAAAATACTTGCTGCTAAGCCTTATGACCGAGGCTGGTCCTTGAGATCTACATGGTGGAAGGAGAGAACCAGCTCCCGGAGGTTGGCCTTGCCTCCACGTGTGTGCTGTGGGATATGTACCACCCTTCCCAAATGTATCTAACTGAAAAAAAAAAAAAAGAAAAATCAATTGGACATAAATCTAAGGTTTTTAAAATTTTTGTTTTTCTTCTCAGAAAAAAAAAACTCCAAACAAAATAACAAAAGTGGATGAGGATATAGAGGAAGAGGAGGATTATATTACTGCTCTGAATGAAAACTAATTTAGTAGGGCTGGAGAGACAGCTTGGTGGTTAAAAGCACTGGGTGTTCTTACAAAAGATCCGGGTTTGATGCCCAACACTCTCAGGCCTCTCACAAACATGTGTAACTCCAGTTCCAGCGGATCCACTGCTCTCTTGTGGCCTCCATGGCCACTGCATGCATGTTTTGCACAGACATATATGCAGACAAAATATCCATTCATATTAAAAAAAAAAAGTAGAAAAAAAAGTAGCCATTGTGGGGAAAAAAATGTTTTCTTGTCATCCTTCATCCAGGTCACTTTCTATTGACAAATTTGCTGTTGGACAAGTTGAAGGCCTCTGCTCCTTCGCGCATCATCAACCTCTCGTCATTGGCTCATGTTGCTGGGCACATAGACTTTGATGACTTGAACTGGCAGATGAAAAAGTATGACACCAAGGCAGCCTACTGCCAGAGCAAGTTGGCTGTTGTCCTCTTCACCAAGGAGCTGAGCCGCCGGCTGCAAGGTGTGCAAAAGGCGATTTTTTTTTCTTGTCTCCTTCCTTTCTTTATGTGTCTGGAATAGACAGCCCTGAGCTGGTGATAAAAGGCAAGTAGTATTAAACAGTGTTGTCAAAAGGATGGTACCTGAACCAGCATGTCCCCTTCTGGTGCGAGGCAGGCCTCACTAATACAGCATGGCTCTCATAATGGCTCCTTAGCCTCGGTAAGCCGCCCTCATCACACATGCTTGCCTTGCTTTTCTGGGGTAGACTCCTAAGCCCTTGGCACTGTAAGCCAGTGGCTGGGAACTGGGAGTGCTTTTGGTCCATAGGGGACATGTGTCAATGTTTGCAGACATGCCTGTCACAACTGGGTCAGTGAGGTTGCTCCCAGCTTCTAGTGGGTTAAAGTCAGGAGTCCTCCTGGATGGCTCCCCCTATTCCTTCCAATCCAATGGAAGGGATGTAGTGCCAGGGATAAAAAAACAGAAACAAAACCCCCCAAAACCAAAAAAGCCAAACAACCCCCCCTAAAACCAAAACTGAAACCAAAACAAAAACAACACAATAAAACTTCCTGCTTCTCAAAAGTTGTCTGTGACTAGCTGTGCCAGCCACCCTTGGGAGAGTCATAATTCTAGCATTTTAGTTCCCACTCCAGTCCCCTGCTTCAGACTCTGGTGGGGGTGGCAGAGTCCAGAAATGTGGGTCTGTTAGGCTCTCAGAGCTGCTGTGCCTGGGGAAGCCACTTGGCGGAGCCACCTTGTAAGAGGAAGCCGCTTGAAACTGGGGATAGTGTGGGTTCAAGTGTAGGAAACAGCGCAGCATGGGGAAAACCTTAGTGCAGTGGCGGCGGCCTTCCAGGCAACGGCCAACCTGGTCATTTTTCACTAGCTTTGTGTATGCCTGTTTGTACGTGTGCATGCGCCTGTGTGCATTCGTGTGGGGCTGTGCTTGTAAGTCAGTGGGCAATGTTGGTGCCACCCACTTTGTTTTTTATTTGAGACAACATCTCCTCCTTGGCTTGGAGCTCACCCACTAGTCCAGGCTATCCGGTCAGTGAGCCCCAGGGATCTGTCTGTCTCTGCCTTCTCAGTGTTTCCTAGGGATTCTGAGCAGGCACCACCACAGACATGGGTTTTGATCTGTGTTCTGGGCATCAGACTCGGGACATCCTGCTTGTGTGTCAAGCTCTTTAACCACTGAGCTGTCTTTGCAGCACTCACCTATCTTTATATTTTCCTAGGCACTGGTGTATCTGTCAATGCTCTGCACCCTGGTGTGGCCAGGACCGAGCTGGGAAGACATACAGGCATGCACAACTCTACCTTCTCTGGCGTCACACTTGGTGAGTCCCCTTCCAGCTTGGTGTCCCCTCACAGAGCCCTCTCTCTGTGCCCTCTCAGCTGGGGATCCAGGACTCTCCCTCAGAGATGGTCATTTTACTTCTTTTTTTAATTCTCTTTTTATTTGACTGGGTTTCACTACATATTTCTGACTGCCTTGGAACTTGTTATGTAGACCAGGCTGGCCTTGAACTCACAGAGATCTTTTTGCCTCTGTCTCTCAATTGCTGGGACTAAGTAAATGTGCCATCATACCTGGCAATTTTTTCCCCTCAACATGGCCTCATCTAGACTAGGCTGGTCTTGAACCTCTAATTCTCTTAGCTCCAGAGTGCTGGGGTTACAGGTGTGTGCCACCATGCCTGGCTGCTGGCTTTACCTCTTTCAGCTCCCTCCTATATCTTTCTGGGGTGGAAGATGGGTCATTGTTCTATGTGGTTCTGGCCTCAGGATTGACAGAAAACAAGCTAGAGCCCCACTGACCAGTGAGAAAACTGTTTGGAGGATAAGTCTCGAGCCTACTTCTGGAGTCACAGGGTAACCCTAACTTCACCCAATACCAAGTCATCTAGGGAAATGCACTTCCCAGTTTTAACAGCCTCTTATTGTGTAGATCAGGTTGGTCATGAACTTGTGAGCCCCTGCTTCTGTTTCCTGAGTGCTGGGATCACACACATGCGTCGCCATGCTTGTTGCTTTGAGTGTCAGTTCCCTTATAGTGAGGTCCATGATGGGACCACCCTCACAGTCACTGGGAAGATGAGGTGAGATTGCCCATAAATTGGCCTGCACAGTGTCTGGCCAGAATGAAGTCTGGCCCACAGCCAAACATTAGGCAAAGAGAGCTCAAGTTGGAGATCTACATGGGACCCCTCTCCTGGAAGCTCAGGGAACCCCACAGAAGAGGGGAGAAAAATTGTAGGAGCCAGGGGGGTAGAGGATACTGTGAGAACATGGTCCACAGATATCAACAAAGCAGGGCTCACAAGGACTCACAGAGACTGAAGCCGCAATCATGGAGCCTGTGTGGTCAATGCTAGATCCTCTGCATATATGTTATGGTTGTGTAGCTCAGGGGTTTTGTGGGACTCCTAGCAGTGGGAGTGGGGTGTCTCTGACTCTTTCATCTGCTCTTGGGACCCTTTTCCTCCTCCTGGGTTGCTGAGTCCAGCCCTGATATGAGGGTTTGTACCTAGTCTTATTGCATCTTGTTGTGCTGTGTTTGGTTGATATCCTTGGGAGGCCTATCCTTTTTAGAAGGGAAACAGAGGCAGAGTAGATCTGCGGCAGAGGGTAGCTGGTGGTGGGGAAAGTGTCGAGGAGTGGAGGGAGGGGAAACTATGGTTGGGATGTATTGAATGAGAGGAGAATTAAAAAAAAAAAGAATATAGTCTGAATCAATAGAGCATTGTAACTGCTATCCCTGAGAATCGTTTAATGAGCATGTATCAAGAATTTTAACACAAAAGTACCACAAGAGGCATTCAGGAAGTTGAGGGCTGGAGATGTAGCTCAGATGGCAGACTGTTTGGGGCTGCTAGGCCAGCGAACATGAAGCTCTGGGTTTGATCCTCAGCACCACATAAAATCAAACCTGGTGGCATGTGCCTCCCAGCACTCGGGAGGGAGAGGCAGGAGAATAAGGTTAGGTTTATCTTTGGCTGTATAGTGAGTGAGTTGAGGGCCAGTCTGGGCTACACATGTCCCTGTCTGAGAAGAAAGATTATTTCCAATAAAGATTATAATAGGGAAAAAGTGCTTTCATTTTGCTGGGCTCCTGCACAGAGGCTTCCTTAAGAGGTGGCTATTGGATTGACCCTCCTTGTGGAGGGATTTGTGGGGATGTTGCCAGGGAAGGGACCTTTAGGTAGAGGGAACTCCAAGGCTGGGAGGTGGGTTCCTTAGGACTTTAGAGCAGCTTACAGCCTCAGAGGTTTTGGGTTCCCTGAGGATATATATATCCATTTGACTAAACGTTCTGTGGTTGGTTGTAGGGCCCTTCTTCTGGCTACTGTTCAAGAGTCCCCAGCTGGCGGCCCAGCCCAGCACATACCTGGCTGTGGCAGAGGAACTGGAGAGTGTTTCTGGGAAGTACTTTGATGGATTCAGAGAGAAGGCTCCATCTCCTGAGGCTGAAGATGAGGAAGTAGCCCGGAAACTTTGGGTTGAAAGTGCCCACTTGGTGGGCTTGGATGTGGTTGATGGGTCTCCTGGGAAGGGACATTCCATCCCCAGATAACCTTCAAAGATCCAGATGGAACTGCATTAGCAAGGCTGCTCCTGGACGTGCCCATATCATCCTCTAGGGGCAGTGTTGCCATGTTAGACTCTCAAGCATGTGGCTGCTGGCTGCCATCTCCCATCGTCCTCTAGGTGGCAGTGTTGGTCCTAGCTTTTATTGTGGTTCACCATTGAGTTGGACCACAGGTAGGCATTCACTCAGGTACAATGTACTCTTGGTTACTGGGGAGCTGGTCCATCAGGTGCCTCCCTTGGGAATCTAAAAGGGGAGGCTGTTGGGGGAGTCAGTCACTGGTTATGTGCAATGTGTAAAGACAGTGGTAGCTGCTGTGGTGGATTTACTGGTCCACTGTTAAGAGCAGGTAACCAGGCAAATATGGCAAGTCATAGTTCTCTGTGGGGCCTTGCACAGGTCTGTCTCCTGTCTGACTTAGCTGTTGTTCCTGCTTGCTTTCTGTTGCTGTGATAAACACCTTGACCAAAAGCAACTTGGGGAGGAAAAGGTCTATTTAGCCTATAGGTTATAGTTCATCATGGAGGAGGGAAGCCAGCACAAGAAGCCAGGTGAGAGCTTGAAGCAGATACCAATGGAGGTTTGCTCCCAGGCTCATGTTTCGATACCTTTCTGAAAAATAATTTTTATTGTTATTTTTCTTTACAGAGAGGGTCTCACCTGGCCTTTCTAGAACTTGCTGTGTAGACCAGACTGGCCTTGAACTCACAGATATCTGCCCTTCTGGGATTAAAGGCCCTGCCTGGGGATGGCACTATCCACATGGCTTGAATTTCCAACATCAATTGGCAACCAAGGCAGTGTCCCACAGACATTCCCCTAGGGCAGTTTGGTCCACGCAGTTCTTCAGTTGAGAGTCCGTCCCTCTTTTAGGTATGACAAGTTGACAGCCAAGTGAGCCAGGACAGCCCTTGATTGCCAAGGATAACTGCTACCTCAGGGATGGTGTGGGTGAAGCCCCCTCCTGACTCAGTAAAGGATAGCTGAGGACCTCCTGTGCTGGACCCTGGCTGAGGTGCTGTGATCCAGTGGAAACCTTGGCCCTGAATAACAAACCCCATCTTTGTTAGCCCTGAATTGCTCAGGGCAGAATGAATGGAAAGCTGCCAGTTGCGGCCTCAAAAAACCACATGACCTGGGATCATGATCTCTCCAATTCCTGTGGAATTTTGACCTTAGACTCTCAGGCTTGTTTGGTTATAAGAACATGTTGGGTGTAGTAATACACATCGGTAACTCCAGTGCCTAAGAGGTGGAGACTGGAGGATCAAGAGTTCAAGCCTAGCCTCAGCCAGGCTATAAGATCCTGTCAGAACAAATCAAAACAGTGAGATCTCCAAATGTGGCTGAGTCATGATTTAAAATAAAAACAAACATACATTTAGTGCGTGTGTGTTTGCCTTTGTGTGCACAGTCCATGATGGAAGTCAGAGGACAACTTGTGGGAATTCATTCTCCTTGAGAGTCCTGGGGATGCAACTCAGTTTGTCACTCTTGGTGGCAAAGGCCTCTCCTTACCTTCTGAATGAACCATAGTGCCAGCTGAGTCATATATCCTTTTATATGGAATTTACTTCATATACAACTTGTGTATTTATGTCTTTTAAGAAATTAAGACTTTCAGTTGTCACAAGACAATGATTTTCCAACAACTCGCACATATTTTTCATCCATTCTGTTCTTGAATTAGGCTGGATCAACTTCACCTTTTTTTCACCTTTCTTTTCAGATAGTTTCAGTCTAGTTCAGGCTAAACTTGAACTCTCAGTACTCTTGCCTCAGCCTCTGGAGTCCAGAGATTACAAGCCCAGGACACCCCACAAACTCCCAGTGTTTACAGTCAAATGGAAATAAACATTTCTGTTACTAATTTGTCATTGTCCTTTTGTTTTATGTGGGAAGTGTATGTCTCTTGCTGGGACAAAATTTCTGACAAAAGCAACTTCAAGAAGAAAGGAGAGAAGGAAGGAAGGAAGAAAGGAAGGAAGGTTTTAGTCTGGCTGGCAGTTCCAGGATACAGTCTGTCATGGTGGCCCGAGGCAGGCACTGGACAGTCTATCTGCAGTCAAGGACCAGGAAAGGATGCTGCTGCTTTGCTCCCCTTTGCCTTGAAATTCTTGTACATTTTTTATGTGTGTATGTATGTGTACACATGCTCCCATGCATCATGGTGTGCTTGTGGAGACCAGAGGAAAACCTATGGGAGGTTTGCTGACAAGTGCGCGGTTTACCCAATCAGCTCCCTTGCCAGCTCCCTTGCCAGCTCCCTTGCCTACTGTTATCTTTATTAGTGTGTGTGTGGGGGGGCAGATGCATGCCACGTCACGGGTGTGGCAGCGAGAGAGCACCTGTCGGGACTCAGTTCCTTCCTGCCGTGTGGCTTTACGTGCTGAATCATTGCCGCAGCCTCTGTTTCCACTCAGCTTTGGGCTCCAGCCCATAGCATGGTGCTGTTTATGCTCATTGTGGGGCCTCACGTTGCAATGAACCCAACCTAGGAGCTGCTGCTCAGTCATGCCCAGAGGTTTGTCTCTTTGGTGACACTAGAGACTGTCAAGTTGACACTATTAACCACCACAGGGTGTCTTTCTTGGCAGATGAAGTTCATCCTAAAGGGTTGAAAGTCTAACTGAATATGGAGCCCGGGCTGCCAGGGTGGCCGGTCAATGGTTGTGTCTTTAATGCTGGGGGATTAGTCTTGCAGACAGATGTGGCTGCTTTTAACCACAAACCCTCATGACTAACATCTACTTCCTTTTCAAGGCCAAGAGACCTCAAGTGCTACAAATGCTACACCATTGTAATCTCAAGGCCCCGGATGGCTCAAAGACGGCAGTACCCTAAGAGATATGAAAGATAACAAAATCTACTTGAAAAAACAGGACAGAGAAGTTGTGGACAAGTAATTAAGCCAACTGAAGAAGCTGGCCATGGCCGTAACACCTGTCATTCTAGCCCTGTGCAAGTGGAGGCAGATCTTGAATTTGAGTCTAGTTTGGACTGCAATAGTGAGACTCTAGCTCAAAAACTGAAAATTAAACTATGAATAAAGACAAAAACCAAAACAGACCAAAGAAACACCTGCAAGGAGTTGCTTTGCACAGTGGCTCAGTTGAGCTTGCAGTGGACTGTGTCACTGTTCTTTGGAGCTGGGGAATTCTGTCCGGTTGTCTTTGGTGACCAGTGACAAAATGTTCAAAAGGTACAAACTGGGCTGATATTTACTTACTTTTTCTGAGACAGAGTCTTGTAGCCCAGACTCAGTAGCAGAGGATGGCCTTCAGTTAGGGATCTTTCTACCCACTTCCCCAGTGGTGGGAAACAAACAATATTGTGCTGACACACAGATGTGTGCCCACACAGCCTCATCAGTTGTTAAAAACATCAAAGTTCAATGGAAGTGAGTGGGTAAATGTCTGTGCTCCTGAACGTACCCAATCTCTTCCCCCCTTGGTTCCTTTCTCAGGTCTTCTTGGGCACTGCATGATCCAGAAACTGAAGGGTTAACTCTCAGCAGCACCAGGTAAGCTGATCTAGTCCTTGGATCATCTTCACCTTTGACAGACCAGGGCCCACCTCCTGTGAATGGTGGAAGGTTGAAGATTACCTAGGCTTAAGTTGCTAGGCACATTAATTAAGCAGCTGCAGAAGCTCCAGGGTAAGGCGCACATGGGTTCTGTGATGTCCCCTAGACTCCTGGCTGTCTGTTCATTAGCAGGGTCAACTACATCCCAGGTCGGTCTCTGTGGTCAGCTGGACGGTGGCCCCTGAAGAGTATGACCATATTTCTGGTGTCTGTGAACAATACCATCTAGTAGGAAAGGATGTTGAGATCAATCTCTTTAGGTTATCTGACCATCAAGACACATGGCTATAACACTTGGGAGGCTGAGACGGGAGAATTACTGAGTTCAAGGCCACCTGGACTACACAGTAAGACCCACAGAACAAGACTGTGCAGTTGAGGTAGATGCAATCAGAATACTGGGGCTTGTGCAAATACCAAAGGTAGAGGAAGGAATCTACATACTCCCCCCCCCCCCCATGCCTACTTCCTCTCTGGTTTTATTCAGGGATTACAGATGAGTCATAAAATGCTGGGCTCCCACCTTGCCTTTTCAAAAGCATCTCAGAACTCTGTCCATTTTGTGCACATTGTCCATTTTGTCACCTCCTGTCTATGTCTTGGAGACTGCTAGATTTTGCTGTTCCTGTGGTGTGGTGGTTTGAGTGAAAATGACCCCCATTAGACTCAGAGGGACTGGTGTTATTTGAGGTGTGGTCTTGTTTGAGTAGGCATGCCCTTGTTGGAGGGAGTTTGTCACTGAGGATGAGCTTTGAGGTCGTAGGTGTTCAATCTGGGCCCAGTGTTTCTCTCACTCTCTTCCTGCTGTCTGCCAATCTGGATGTAGAACCCTCGGCTACCACTCTAGCATCATGTCTGCCTGTGTGTCACCATGACAATAAGGGACTGAACCTCTGAACTGCAAGGCAGCCCCAATGAATTGTTTCCTTATAAGAGTTGCAGTGGTCATGGTGTCTCTTCACAGCAACGAAACCCTAACTAAGATACATGGTTCACATATGGCTTGAGCAAGTCCCTAGGGGCTGGCCCCGGGGAAGCCTGGTCCTCGGTGTGCTAATGTCACGATGGTGGGAGTGGAGGTGGTTAGTAATCATGGGGAGTGTTGCTGCCCTCTGAAGGGGCTTGGAGTTCTGGGCCTCTAGAAATTTCATTCTCTGAGGCTTCCTGTATTTTTTTTCTTTGTCTTGGGATGGTCTTACTCTGTAGTCCATGCTAGCATGAGACTCAGGCTGTAGCCTAGGTTGGCCTCAAACTTGTGGCAATTCTTCTGCCTCAGCGTAAGGAATGCTGGGATTACAGGTGTGAACTACCATAATGTTTTTTTTTGGGGGGGGGGCTGGGAACTGAACCCAGGACGTCAGGCATTATAGATCAGGCTACTTGTCTCACCACATGACATTTCCCTCATGCACACACTCTCTGAGACATTCTGGTTCCTCTCAAGAGGCTCAGTTGCCAGAGCTGCCTGCGTTTGAAGTTTCAGTTTCCAAAACTGTGAACTAAATAAGACCCTTTTCTTGATAAGTTGTCTAGCCTCATGTGTTTCATTACAGTAATGAAAAATGAACTAATACAGCCACTGAGATTGTACTCTGTCTCATTCACAACAAACGGTGTCAAGTGAAACTGACATGTCAGTCTTCTGCCTTCCTGTGAAGGCAGCCATGTGGCAGAGAACACAGTACCAAGTGCACACTGGGCTGTGTGTGCATTTGAGGCATGATGAACCTGCCTGTAAACCTCAGTTCAGGAGTGGTGTGTGACACTCTTCCTGGGGAGAGGTGAGCAGATGTGTGCTCATCCCGATAGGCGATGGATGCAGGCCGAAGTAAGTTTTATTGCCCCGTTCGAGGGCAGCAATACCTCCACTGATCTAATACCTCCACCCAGGTTCTACCTCTGTCTAGTCCTGTTACCTTGATCTTAGCACATTGAGATCAAGCTTTCCTCACACCAACCCCTGAGAACATGCTCAAGCTGTATGCAAACCACAGGAAAAAAAAGTCCATAAAACCTCTTAGACATAGACAGGAGGTGACACAATGGATGAGTCTCCCTTAGAGCTCTGGGAGAGGTGCTTGGGAAGAGCCAAGAATGGGAGTGTATTGCTTACCTTTCTGTGGCTGTGATAAAACACCGTAACCAAAGCAACTTGTAGAAGGAGTTTCATTGCAGTGAGCATTTCCAGGTAAAGCTGAGTGGGCACATGGGCGTACTGTGTGGTACACACTACGACACACTGTGACACGCTGCAGCTTTCATGGTGTTTTTATTTTTTATTTTCTTTGGGTGGGGGAGGTTACAGGGCTGGAGGGCAGATACAAAGAGATGGGAGATGAGTGGGCTTAGGGCGCATGATGTGAAACTCACAAAGAATCAATAAAAAGTAAAAAAAAAAAAAAATAAGAGTTTATTTGGGCTTATGATTCCAGAGAGTTAGGAATCCATCATGGGGACATGGCAGGCAAGATGGCAGCTGGGACAGCCGGAGCATCAAGCTGAGAGTTTAAATCTTAAACCATAAGCGTAAGGCAGAGAGAGCTAGGTGGGAAAGGCACAAAGCTTTTAAACTCAAAGCCTAACTCGATAACTCACTTGTTCCTACAAGGCCACATCCCCTGATACATCCCACACAGCACCATCAACTAGGGACCAAAGCATTCAAATGTTCAAGACAATGGGGGACATCTTCTCCCTTAAACCACCACAGGGAGTCATGTATTTTTTGGCTCATCTGTAATCCAGCACTTAGAAGGTGAAGGCAAAGGATCAGAAGTTTTAGGCCAGCCTCTGCTATGCAAATGAGTTTGAGATCACCCTGCACTATAGAAGCAAAAAATGACTCAAAGACAGCTGCAGCATCAAAAGCCCATCCCATCATGAGTGACAGCTCATGAAAGCTGGAACCCTGGAGCACAGGCAACTGGACAGTTTGGAGCCTGTCTGTCTTAGTAAGGATTTCTATTGCTGTGAACAGGCACTACGACCATGCCAGCTATTATAAGGAAAACATTTAACTGAGGTCAGCTTGCAGTTTCAGAGGTTTAGTCCATTATCATCATGGCAGGACATGGTAGTGTGCAGGCAGACATGGTGTTGGAGGAGCCAAGAGTTCTATATTTTGATCCACAGGCAGCAGGAGAGTATGTGCCACACTGGGCATAGCTTGAGCATAGGAGACCTCAAAGCCTGCCCCCACAGTGACAGACTTTCTCCAGCATAGCTACACCTCCTAATTGTGCCATTCCCTAAGGGCCAAACATTCAAACACATGAGCCTATGGG